ATAATTGGAATCTGTCCTGTGTAAAGTTCTCATCTTAGTAAAGCTATTAAAATCTCTAAGGTTTACGTACTGCCAGACCTTCTTTTGCTGTCATGCTCACTTGAGAAATTGTAAAACAATTGCTGGTTGTTAAGAAAAGTTTTTATTGTAAGATTCTTTGCCAAATTAGAGCTAAAATGTATTTTAAAATGTTAAACTCTCCTGTCATAAAACACTGCCTAAAATATATTTCATTAAAATTAAAATTCTATCTTGAAAAATGTACAGGAAGGTCATGGGAGAAGTCACTCTGGGAAGGAGGAAGGCCTGGAAACCACAGCAGGAATGAGCCATCACTTCTGTTATCATTTTCGCCAGGTCCCTACTTAACGTCATGAGCAAGACCTGGCCTTCACAAGTTATGAAGCAAGTCTCCTATTGTTGTGAATAAAATTTTGTTTGAACATGGCAATACCCACTTATTCACATATGCCATCTGTGCAAACTAAGCAAATGTACATCACTACTGAATACAGAATGTATGCTGAAGCATAAGGAAAAATCCAGTTTGATATTCTCTTCTCAGTTCCTACAATACTCAAGACCCCCTGGTTTGTGGAGTATTTTAAATGTGAATTTCTCCTAAAAATGAGGAACAGATTTAAGAGGAAGCAGAAGAATGATTTTGTCTGAGATCTCCTACATAGAAAAAAAATACGAATTAACTGACCAAACTCATCAAAGTAAGCAACTGCCATACACATTCTTCTAGGACTCCTGTTTATACTAGTTTGGCCTGAAAAGAGAAACATACCTGTAATAATTAAGATGTAAGTAGGCGAAATCCCCAATTGGAGTTTGGTTCCAAAGTACACATTTTGATGGAGGAAAGTAGAAAGGTACCATCTTTGAAGAAAATCTTTAAATACAATTTAAAAAACACTTTATGATGAAAGTGCAAGGAAAATCAAACTTAATCAAATTTTGCAACAGTTAACGTTTATTACATGAAGGAATTTGAAATTATAAATTTAGAAAAGCTGAAAAATATTTATGAAGAAAAAAGGACATTCACTTGTAATCCTAATTATCAGGAGAACACTTCAAATTGGGGTATAATCCTTTTCTTTTTTCTATATACACAGTATTGCATGTCAAAATATACCTTGAAATGTTCTTTTTTCAGTGATCCTAATACCATTCCTCTTCAATTTGTTATTCCAGGTGCAGTAAAACATATGATTAAAAATGGCCGATACTAGTCTATTTCAGCCACTAGTAACTAGTGCATCCTATTTCATTTT